TCGAAGACGATCAAACGATTCTTGAATGTTCTCTGGATCAACGTCAACGGTTCACAAGGTGGTGGTGGACAGCTTCTGATCAGAGCGACATCTGACCAGCGTGATCGTGAAACTACTTGTGCAAGTTCCCTCATGCCACAGCAGAGCATTGAAGTTGTTTGTGGCATGATCTGTGGACCATTTAGACTTTGTTGAGCTGCGATTATTTTAAACGCAGCTAGATGTCGCTCTATTTCTATGAAACCGTCCAACGTAGTCCATACAAAGTGTACAGTACTTGGCAGGTGTTCTCTGGAAATTTCCAAATTGGTAACGTATGGTACCGTACCAGCAAAGCAGAGGTAAGGCAGTTTATCCCAGAATTTGATTTTCATTCACATTTGATCATTAAATTTATTTATACACTAAGTATAATGAAATTCATACATTCATAAAAAAAAGAAAGCTTTGAGGTATTTTACTGTTTTTGAAAAGTAATGTCTGCTGCATTCCTCTCATGGCAATCTGAAACCTTCATGATGGACAATCACTATTTTTCTTGCATTAACAACAGCCATGTCATCTATTTTTTGGGGAGAACAATTATTGCATCCATCCATTCAGTCATGAATCTAGCTGATGAAGTGTAAAAGTTTTTTTTTGTTTCAATATTCTTAAAGCATCTGATTTTTGTTAAATGTGACCATTCCTTGCACCAACTTTTAAGACAATTTTTATAAAAACACTTACACTTTATTTGCAATTTCTTCTTGCCAGCACCTTTTTTAAAACTTGACTTGGTTCAAAAATTTTCGAAAGAAATACAGTAAAATAACCCACATAATGTTTAGGTAGTTACTGTAAGGCATGAAAAACTGCATTTACACATAAAATCTCTTCATTAATTTTTTCATGTTGGTCTTGGTTTATTTTGAGCTACTGTTGGATAAGTACAGAAAATATTATGTGCAAAGTTTAAATCAGTAATCTCTTTCCTAATCCAATTGGCCTCTCAAAGATTATGTGGTGCAAGAAAAAGTTTATAATTTTCTGTTTTCTGGGAATTTGAAGGAAAATGGGCTTTTTCTGCAGATAAAAACACTTTTTAGTAAGGAAAAACAATTGACTCTCAACTTCTTTCAGGAAGAGAGCAGCTCATTTTTACGTTTCAGCTTTTTCCTGTACAAAAGGAATTAACATGATGCTGACTTCCTTGTTTTCTCTTTTCCATTCCAAATTCTTCCCTATGACATCAGCAGAAAAATAGCTAACGAATAACTAGACCTCATCATTACAAAAGAAGGAATTCGCAGTGCTTTGAATTGTTTATTAAACCTTGGAAGTTGTTCACTGTGAAGGGCAATTAGAAGCTGGCCAAAATGGCATGCATGTGATTTTTGTAGTCAGCAAATATTCGGGCAAAATTCATCTGAAAATGTGGGTCTATGTGTAGAATCTAAAATTTCCCCACCCTAAAAAAATTTGACCTCTATTGCCTCAGAAGGAATTTCAAAGTGGTCCCTATTTTACCCTCTGTGAATTTTGAGAAGTGCAGTATTGCATTGATATGGCTAATTTTATAAGCTTAACTGGAGTTAATTTAAAACTTACATACCTGCATGCTAATGAAAATTGAAGTCTAGATAAAGGTTTGAAAGGATCCCATAATGAACAAGGAATTTCAGCTTAGGCCCTTATATTACTGTAATTCATTTGATGATTTAGTTACATTGCTGAATGCTGGCCACAGTAAATACATCCTTCATGTCATTGGGTGGCATTCTTTGTATGTTGTCCACATTATTATAGAGCATCTCCATACCTAAACTGGTTTATTTAAAAAATCTAATCATAATTTTTCAACACAACGTTTTCTTGGAATTGTGCCTTCATTACTGATGAAAACAAAGATGTTCAAGATTAAGCTCTATTCTTTTGCTGCACACATTTTGTGGAAAAATTCAATTGTTTTTTTTTCATTTATGTTAATTGGACCTAAATGTTCAAAACACTGAACTGTCAAGGTACTTTCAATGTCTTTATTTTGCTTAAAATAGAATCATGCACCTACCAATGATG